ATCTCCAGAGAGGGCAGGGCCAGAAAGGCCACCACAAATCTGGCCCCACCATGCCACAGGGAGGCCTCTACCGCCAACCCGACGGAAAGCTGTATGGAGCACAGCCCTCACTGCCGCCTGACACGGGCTGTTTAGTGAGTTTTTACCTCCACCATCAGAATGGAGGCTCCCTGAGACCACGGGGCTATGACATGGCCATGCTGGGTACAAGCAGAAGGGGAAAGCACTGGAGCTCTATGGGGTAGGGGACAGATCTTGGGTGCAGATTCATGGGCCCAACCATGCCTGGGCACAGGCTGGCTGAGTGGGCCTTGGCAGATGCCCACTGTGGCACAAACCTCCAAGTCACAGAGTCCACCACCTCCCTGCATGGGCAATGGGATGGGGCCCAGAAGGGAGCCCAGACCCTGCTCCCCAGTTCTCACACCTGTGAGGAGGTTCCCGGTCCTACCTGTGGCCTTCTAGACTCCCTCTGCCCCTTCCTCAGCTCTGGGTTAGAGACCACAGATACACTTACTCCAAAAGGTCCCTGTGAACATGCACATGATTCCCTGTGAAGGGCAGGAGGGCACTGGAATGTTCTACTGATGAATGAGTGGCAAGCAGTCTGGAGCTCAGACTTGGGCCTCCTCTTTTGATAGTGAGGTGGGCCAGGGAGGGTAACAGAGTCCTTCTGCCTGGGTCCAAAGCCTGCTCCATCATTACCACTTTGGACTTTGTGCAAGGTACTTAACCTTAATGTACCTCAGTTTCCTCATTTGGAGGATTGTCATGTTCTGAGACCCCATTTCCCCACCTCAGCCAACCAGACTGCTCTACCCACTGGACCCACGGACTTCACAGATGCCATGCCTTCCTGCCTTGGGCTAAGGGCACTCCTTCCCCACCACTGCCCTCTGTCCAAGCCCCCATCTCCATCTCACAGGATCTTTATAGCTCTCCCACCGTTTCTTATCTCTGAGCTCACTTCTCTGGACAAAGAGAGAAAATTAGCTACGTTTTGCCCCTACACTGCCATATCTGGCTATATCACCCAGTTGCCAAGTCTCATCAACAACTTCTCATCCCCTCTGCGTGGCTCACGGGCAGAGAGCCCCCTCCTCCTTGCAGTGCCCTCATCCTCGGCTTCCATGAAGGCTCTCCACCCTGGTTCTCCCTGCCCTTGACTGTTCTGTCCCTTTTGTGATGGTTTTTCTCACCCCCACTGTGACCTCACCCACTTTCTCAGCTTCAATTCCCACATATACAGCAAAGGTTCCATATCTCCAGCCAGAATCTCTTCCCAGAGCCTAGAATCATACATCTGACTGTCTAGGATACATCCCTTGATATTCAATAACACTTTGGACTTGAAGGGCATTAGTAGGACCTAACAAAATAAGGTCCCCAGCATGCTGCCCTGTCTAGTAGATGCTCAGTAAATGGTAGCCATTATTACTATTTGATCCTTGGTACCATTTTAATAGGCAGAACTACTAATTTGAGAAGACCAGACAAAACTCTCTCCCAGGAATTGAAGGGGGGATTGAAGTCCTTTCCTCACCCTCTGTGGTTAGTGAGTTGGAAACCCCATACCAATCACTGCAGGCCAGCCATTCTAGGAACTAGTTCCTAAACTCTATCTCCAAGTCTCCTAATTAATTAATTAGCGTTCTAGCGATTACTTTTGTTGACAACCTTGGTGGCTTTTGGCAAGTAGGTCAGCCCAAGCAAGTCCAGACTTATTGTGGCAAATCCCACTGGCTTCTGGGATGAGACATGATCCCTCTATGGCAAAGGAAGCTCCTCATTAGAGAGAATTAATTGGGAGGGTGAATGGGGAGAACGAGGTCCTCTCAGCCAATTGGCCAACGGCCTTGGTGCCATGGGTCACAGATAGGCCTAAAACACCCCATAATGCCCAGGCCAGCCTGCATCCTGTTAGGGTCCATGCAGCTGAGGCAGCAGCTCTGAACATCGTGCCTTCACCCTCCCTTCCCAGAGGGCAAAGACTTATTATGTAATGACTATACGCCGCCCAATCTGGAGAAAGAGGCTTGGGTTGCAATAAGAGGGTCTTTGGTTAGATACTCAGGAGAGCTAACTTCATGCCTATTTGAGGCAGGCATGGGGGGAGAGCCGAGCCTGGACTTTGACATGCAGCCTCTGTGAGGCCAAGGCAGCTCACTTTCGACCACCTCTCCACAGCCAGGGCTGGAGGCCGGGGTGCGTGAACAGCCATTGCTGTGTTATTTGCCCCAGAGCAACACCTGCCAAAGACCCACAGCACTCCTAGACCCTCCCCCACCACAGGGCAGCCCCACGGTAGGCAAGGTGGCTGGTGAGGAGAGAAAATCAGTCACAGAAAACAATCAGATGCAGCGTTTCCCAGAGGCTCTGGGCTTGGAGGGTGGGACCTCTGGGTTTCCTTTCCCATTAGCACCTGGTTTCTGTGACCTTGGGCTGGTCCCGTGGCTGCTCTGGGCGTCCATTTCCCCCAGAGAGCCCGAGCATGGTAAACTGGATGACCTTGAAAATCCTTCCAACCTGGATGGTCTCTGATTGTGTATCATGGGTTTGCTCTGCCCTGGGTCCCTCCCCTGCGCAGGCAGGCAGAGCCACGAGGGCTACTTGAAGCTCTGAGCACAGTGGAGTCTACAATCACACAGGTTGACTGCACAGAGATGCAATGGCTTCAGGGAGTGCCAGGCCCAGCTCTGTGGGGACGAGGGTGCCAGAGACCACTGAGAAATACCCTTCCTCCCATCATCGGGACTTCTGGGCAACCTGCAGCCCTCGGCTCCACGTGGAGTTCCCAGGAGGCAGCTTTCCCAGGGGAGCGGAGCAGGAGGAGCACCCTAGTCTCCACGACACGGCTGGGCCCTGTGGGCAGGAGACGAGGGTCCTGCTGGCATAGGGAGGATCCTGTCTTGGTGTGCCTTGGATGGTGTCCCCCCAGACAGGAGCCCCAGCCCTGCTAGAGTCTCCCCCTTGAACTCTGGAGCTCTGGAGGGAAGTGACCCCAGTTCTCACTCTCCAGGGACCCTGTGGCCAGAGGCAGGTCACTCCCTCCTACTCTAAGACCCTGGGATTCCAGCCCTTGCAGCCCCAACACATCAAGCCCTTATTTTCACCTCCCCGAGGTGCCCTCCAGGAGCCCTCACCCCTCGCACTGCCTCCCTTGGGGCCCTGCCCGCCGCAGGGTGAGTGCTGAGACCACAGACTCCAAAGTGCCTCCTCTGCCCAGCGCCCACCTCCTCATGAGCTCAGATACTCCAAACACCCTCCCGCTCAGCCACCTTCACACCCAGCCCAGCTTGGAGCCCGTGCTTCTCTGCTCCTCTCTTCTCCCACCCATGTCCCAAATGCCCCCCCACAACGAAACCCCAGCAGAGAGGACCCTGTGATCTTCCCTGCCACGCACCCCTGGGTGGCCCCTCACACCACCCACCAGGCTCCCCTGACTTCTTGGGTCAGCTGTCTCTCACCCTCCCCCCTGGATGTCTCAAACCTCCTCTGTAGTCCTCAGACCCCTGACCCACCCCCAGTTTCCCGTCTGCTCTGTCACAAGAACAGAGAAGCCATCAGAACAACTCCCTCAACCTCCCCAGCCCTGAACCCCACCCTAGCCGCATCTGCCCCTCTTCTGCCTACTACTGCAGGGAGGGGGCGCTCCTCCTGCTGAGCTCTGGTCTGCCCCGTCTTCATGGACTTTGCTCCCCCAACATCCTCCTCTCAGTGTTCTCAAATGAGAGGACGTGCCTGGTGCCTTCCCTTGTATGTTTATACAAGCTCCAGTCTCTCCCGTTTAAAAAAAGGAAAGATAAATAAATAAAAGCCTCTCTCAATCCCACATCTTGTTCCAGCTGTGGGCCTGTTTCTCTTTTTCCCCTCAACGCCAAGCCTCACTTGTCGCCTGGGCCCTGCCCCTCAGGGACAGGGTTTGCCTTTATCACCTGAGACATCAGTGGACGCTCTTTAACACACGGAGTTCCACCTCTCCGAAGGACTGACCCTGTGGACGGCCCGTCCAAACCCATACCCCTCTTGGCCTGGCTCTGCCCTTTCCTCCCTGGCCACTTGTCCTTGGCACCCCACCAGGGCCTCTGTCCTCCACATGCCCTCATGTGCCCATCCACCTCACTGGCTGCTCTCCCTCACACTGCCCCTACTCGTGGCGCCATCTTGTGAAGTGGTACCTACACCTGCCAGGCTGCTCAAGACCAGAAAGCTGGGCGCACATCCTCCCACCACATGCAGCTCTTCATCAGATCCCGACGAAGCTGCCTCCTGACTCTCTTCTTACGGACCCACTTCTCCCCATGCCCACTGCCAACAGCCACAGTGGTGGTCCAAGCCACCACCATCTCTCACTGGACGCCTGCCACAGCCTCCTGATGGTTCCTTCTCCTCCCATGCTCCAACCCAGCTTTGCGATGCAGCCACAGGGACCGTTCAAAAGCAGGAATCTGTGTCCTGCTCTGCACAGTCCCTAGGATGACACTACCCTCTGTGCTTCAGCTTCCAAGTTCCCAACACCCCCAGCCCCAGCCCCTCACCTGGCCCCTCATCTCACTCCACTCTGCTCCATTGCAGACTTTGGTCAGCTCTTGGCAGCTCCATGTGCCGCCTCACCACAGCACCGACACACCGGCTGAACCCCAACCCTCGTGTCCCCGCAGCCCTTCTTCACCTGGCCCGCTCCAGCCCACACTCCAGGCCCTAGCGAAACGCCACTTCCCTCTACGCTAGATTTGGTCTCCTCCCACATCCAGCTGAGCTTCTCCCACCCTAACGCTCCTGGAACTGCATTTGCCCTTCTCTGTTTAATTGCCGTGTTGGCTGCTCAACCCCCAACTCTGAGAAGTCAGACCTGGGCCAGTCTTGTTCAGGGTTCTAGCTCCAGTGCCTAGCACAGTGCTAAGGAGTTAGCGCTGCATATTTGTTAATAAATGACCAACAGCTGGCTCTCTGCCCGCCCCCCACCTTGCCCATGACTCCCGCCCCCACTCCCCACTGACCTCTGACATCTGTGGGAAAAGGCTGATCGCCAGTGGCAGGGCCAGGCCAAAGGCTGCCAGGCACACGAGGCTTTGCACAGGGAGGAGTAGCCGGGGACGCGCCTGCAGGAGAGCCGTCCTGTGGGGGAGACCAGAAAATGGCGGGAGCTAGCCACCAGCCACTGCGCTGGGTCCCACTCAGAGTCTCAGGGCCCAGGTGGCATGGCTCTGGGGTCAGTGCCAGCCTGCAGCTAAAGAGATGCAGCAGATTCTGTCTTTGGGGCCTTTCCCAACCGGCAGTCCTCTCCTCAGGCCCCACATGGAAGGACATTGCTGGTAGAACTCTCAGCTACTCAAATCATAAATGAGCACTTGTGGGGCACCCACCCACCATGTGTCCAGCCCTGCGCCAAGCAGGCCGAACATGGGAGAGACACTAGAGGAAGCTGTCAGCCCCTGTTCCCGGGAGACACACAGGAAAGTAAGGTTGCTCTCAAAGGCAGCACATAATTTAATAGCAAACAAAACAGAGTAGGTGCGGAGTTCAGGGGAGAAGACAAAGCACACACACATGCATGCGTGTACATGCATGCACACACACACACACACACACACACACACACAGCTGGGAGGAGGGATCCTCTTCTATTCGTGAGAACAGAAGACATCCTAGTGGCCACCTCACCAACTTCAATCCAAGAACCACAGAGGGGACAGTGACTTGTGCAAGGCTACGTATGCAGGAGGTGGGCAGAGAGTGCTGTCGCCCCAGCGGCTCCCAGCTCCTACCTCCAGGCACCTTTGCAGTGTCATCACCAGCTAGCACCCACTTCCCACGGCCAGCTTCAGAGGGCAGGAGAGGGGTATGATAAACCTCCCTCCAGTGCTCTGGGTCCTCCAGCACCCAGACAGTGTGGGGGCCATATTGGCTGGCAGATATGCCTCTGCCATGCTCATCAGAGCTTTCCATTTTCCATAATATAGCAGGGACCACGGCACTCCACTGGGGAGGCCTTGGGGTGCCAGCAGGATGGATGACTAGAATATTTGCCAGGGGATACAGGGTGGGCACTAAATCTGACCTCAGTAACTGTGTCAGCCTCCATGAGACCTGCTCCTGGTGTGAAGGGGATACAATCGGGCTCTTGCCCCTCCCTCGCTGGAGCAGGGCCACAGGCAGGTGAGAGGGTGAGAGGCCCTCCCAGGGCAGGGCCATATGTAGGGTGCAAGCAAACCCAAGAGCACCTGCTCCTGAGCAGACGGCAAAATTGGAAGCAGCAGTTCTCAAACTTCAAAGTGCAAGGTAACGGTGTGGGCAGCTGGTCCAACGTGCAAACTCCCAAGAGCCCCTTACATCCGTGAAGTCCTGGTTCAGGGTAACTCCCAGGTATTAGAGCCGGGAATTTCCATTTTAAACAACCCTCCCTGAATCTACAGTGGGATCCCAGGCCACACTTAACGAGAACCCCTGCCTCAGGATGTGCCTGCTCAGGTTTTAACAAAGATCTAGTCACCCGTAAATTCTATGCAATTAAAAGAGTTAGCCCCAGCCTGGCACACAGTAAGTGCTCAGTAATTGTGCATCAGTATTGTGTGGTTATCACCCGTGTCACCTGTGGGAAGGAGGTAGGGTCCTGCGGGCTGTGCTGTCCTCTAGCCCTTCTACTGGCCCTGACCCCAAGATCTGTCAAGCTATTGAATTTAGCCTAAATTGAGCTTTTGGAGAGGAGAGTTTCCACAGGATTAAAAGCAGGACAAAGGTGCCTAAATCAAGCTCAAACCTCTCTGATCCCCCAGCCCCACCCCCATGCGGCACCCCATCCTCTCCCTCTCCTCCATGCCAGCCCCGCACCCTCCCTGGACTCCAAGGCCTCCTGGGCTTCCTTAGGAGTCGTGGAGGGGCCGGAAGTAAGGCTGAGATGGGCTCTGAGATCAACTTCTTAAGCAGGACAAGGAGTGTTGGACATAAGGCTCGCCACCCCCCCAAACTTGTGCAGGAGGCCTGGAGCCCCTGCTCACTGGGGCCTGCCCTTCTGTTCCAGTGGCAGTGACAAGAGGGTGTGAAGTCCCTGGAGGTGCAGCCCTGAGGGTCAGGGAAGGCAGGGAAGGGTGACCAGGAGAAAGAGTTAAGCTCCCTCCCAGGCAGGTGAGGGGCTGGCCATGGAATCAGTCCTTGGGACCTCCTGGTGGGGACACTGGACAGACCACCTTCTACATGGGGCTGTAACCTCAGCTCCTCTCTCAGTGGTGGCTGGCTGAAGTTCCCACTGGCAAAGGGGTCCAGGAAGCCCTAGCCCTGTGCTCCCAATGCAAGAAGGAGGCAGGCCCAAGGCTGCAGCCAAACAGGAGCCTCAGGAGTCCCAGCCCAGAGCAAGCTCCAGCCCAGAGCAAGCCAGAGAGTGAACACAGCAGGACAGGGGGAGGGGAGGAGAGGGAAATGGCAGGGAGGGATGGGAAAGGCAGCTGGGGGAGTTAAAATATGCAGATGGAGAGATGTGCGAATGCCTGGGAGAAAGAAAAGACCCGGAGCCCACAGAGGGAAGAAAGCTGAGGGAGTGGACTCGGGGACCCACCATGGGGGGTGTGGCCTGGACTCTGACCCAGCTTAGACCCAGCCTGGTGCCTCTGACCCACCCCCTCCATCCCAGGGCCAGGGAAGCTTGGCTGGGCGTGAGCAACTCCAGATCCAGCACCGGCAGCTGCCTCTCAGCTGGGGGCTCATCCCAGCCCTGGGTCTAAAACTAGCTTCCTCCTCAGCATGGTTGGAGCTGCACGGAGGGTGTGGAGTGTGAACCCTGCAGCCCGCAGAGAGGGTGCCGTGGAGAGTGAGCGGATGCCACCCTCAGAGGTGACCCAGTGCTCTGGGCTGGTGCGGCGAGGCTCCTCTGCTGACTTCAGACTCTTCCTTTCAGTCTCAGAGTCTAGGACAACCGAGCATGCTGAGCACCCACCTCTTATCCCAGCAGGAAACCAGGGACCTGGGCTCTGTGTGCTCCTCCCAGACAGGATGATGGGGAGGCCAGAGGCGAAGCTAGGCGGGTCCCAGCCACAGCCACACAACAGCTTGTCTCCCCCGTTGCTGCGCATTCCTTCAGCACTTGGAGTTCAGCTTTAGTTTGCACTCCATTAATTTGCAAGCAGGCTGCTTTGTAAGTGTTCTTTTGTTTTTTTCCCTGGCTGTCCTGACTCCCTTGCCCAACTGGGGCTCCCCAAGTGTGGAGCTGCCTCCCCCACCAGCGTCCTCAGCAGAGGCCCTGTGCTAGTGTCCCTGCCCATGAGGCTGTGGGGTGTGGGCCCGGCCCCTGCAAAGAGCCAAAGAGCTGCTGGATGGTGAAAACGCAAAGTGCCAATGAATGAGGGGATGAAGGGGCAATGTCCTCATGTTCTCGTGGGAGACTGAGACTGAGGGGGCTCCACAACCACGCCAGCCTGGCAGGAAGAGGTGGAGCCGGAACCGGATTTCGTGTTCCCACCAGAAGTCCCAGCCTGCTCTGTTCCATCGTCCTGCCTCGCCTACCCCTCAGTCCTGCAATTCCAGGGTATATGTGACACTAGCAAGTCTTTGAGGGCACAAATTTGGTCTTAGTTATCTTGATATTCCTGGGAGAATGTGGGCTGGACACTTTTCTTCTCCCCAGAGATCCTCCAAAGAGCTCCAGGGAAGGACCAACGAAATACAAGGCTCCCAGAAGACCAGACTCCCTACGTCTCGCTACCCTTCCAGAGGGGCTTCTTTGGACCCTGAGCTGAGTCAGACTATGTGGCACCCCAGACACTAGGCAGATACCGGAGCGGGGAGGTTCAGAACTAGAATCACCCCACTTCCCATGACTCCCAAAGCCTAGTTTAAGCCCCCAAGCCAATGCTACACTAACCATCACTCTACTTTCTTCAAACTCAACTTGGATGCCAACTGGAAAGGTGTCACAGACCATGTTTTTCCCCAGCAAATTACTGCAGAAGGACAGGCCCCTGGATGACCTTGGCTGAACCAGATCCCCGCCCTGCTTCTTGTAGTTCTCAGGATAACTGTAGAATGTGCTGGGAATGCAACATCCTGAGATAAAAAGGGACTATCTGGAACGGCCTGGGAGCTGTTCCCGCCCCTTCTAGAACAGGATGTCCTGCAACACTTTAGCCCAGAAATCCCATTTCCCCCAGGGTAGACGACCCAGGACGCAGTGCTTTCAGGGTCCCTCAGTTGCAGTGTGATGGGCAGATGAGACTCCATCCTCTCTTGGCAGCTTTCCTGAGCCTTCATGGACCAGCTGGTCATGAATCCTAGGCTTCTCTTGTCCCTCGAAGCCTATTTGTGCTTTGCTTGACTTGCTGTGTGAGTGTCCTGTCTCACCGGACCCCTGGTGCAGGTGACAGAGTAAGCGGTGTCCACTGAGCCTGCTTCCCAATCCCGAGGTTCAGGATTCAGCAGTCTCAAAGAAAGAAGCCCTGCCTTCCTCATTTGCCCCTCGTCTCCTTGCATGTACTTGTAGTCACTGGTATTTGGGGACAACTTTAGTCCGCCAGGGTGTGTGTGGGGGGTACATAGGGGGGTACATATATTAGGGTTAGGGGCACAGAAGTGATTGTTCTCCCAGGATCTGCTTATTTTTGTCTGTTGCAAATTTCCATATCACACCAATTTCCTTTTCTTTTCTTTTTCTTTTTGGAGACCGGGAGGGTCTCTGTTGCTTGGGCTGGAGTGCAGTGGTGTCATCATAGCTCACTGCAACCTCAAACTCCTGGGCTCAAGTGATCCTCTGCCTCAGCCTCCCAAGTGGCTGGGACTACAAGCACATGCTACCATATCCAGCTAATTTTTGTACTTTTAGTAGAGATGGGGTCTCGTTATGTTGCTCAGGCTGGTCTCGAACTCCTGGGTTCAAGCAATCCTCCCACCTTGGTCATCCAAAGTGCTAGGATTACAGGTGTGAGCCACCGTGCCCCGCCCAATTTCCTTAAATCCCAGTACTCAATGCACTATGCCCTTGCTCAGGTAACGCCAGAGGCTCCGCCCTCTTCTAGGAAGAGAGGGACCATCCTTTTGGCGGGGCACACAGGGCCCCTCATCATCTGGCCCCAATAAGCACATTTGCTTCAGCCAGGCTGGACTCTTCCATGTCCACACAACAGGCCTACACCCTGCCCAGAAAGCCCTCCCTTCCTGCCCTCAGGGTCAGCCGCAGCCCCTCTCTGGGGAATAGTCCTCCTTGCTGCTGGACCCATAGCCTTCCTCTCAAGGTCACCTTGGCCCCATTCACAAACTGCCTGCTCTCACCTGCAGCTGACCTGTGTGTGGGTCCTGCCCATCTCCCTTATAAAAATACAGGCTTCCTGACGTCAGGGCCCAAGTCTGCTCATCCCCTGTCTCCACACAGGGCAGGACCCAAACACATGCTGATTACATGATGTGACCTGAAGACCCAAGAGGCAGTGGTATGAAGAGCCCAGGCTTTGCAGCCATAGTCCTGAGCGACCCCTGGCTCCCCTGTTTCCTAGTGTGTGACCCTAAGCAGATGATATATAACCTCTCTTTACCTTCCTCTCCTCATCTGTAAAACGGGGATATCATATACTTACCTCATTGCACTGTTGTGAGGGTTAAATGAGAGCATTCATTCATTCACTCATTCATTCATCAAACACTTACTGAGCATCTACTATGTGCCAGGACCTGTGCTAGATGCTGTGCGGGGCAATAAACAAAAGGATCCACTTGCCTCCATGGAGATTACATTCTAGTGGAGCAGACAGATAATACACAACTAGATAAATAATCACAGATACTGATAAGTGCTGTGAAGAAAAGGGGGTACGAGGTGAGAGGAGGTAGTGAGCAATGGTGGCTGTTCTGATGCGGTGGCCAGGGAGGGCCTTTTTGAGGAGGTGGCATTTGGGCAGAGACCAGACTGAGAGAGGACTGGGATGTAGTGTTTAATAAATGTCAGTTTCTATTATAATTAGTACTGTGGGAATGCGAAGGTCCCCAAACTGGGGAGAACCCCTTGCCCCAGAACCCCAGATGGAGTGCCCCAACCCTGTCCTTATCCTACACACTCCCGATTTCAACTGAGGCCTCGAGGTGTCCCCACTGGGCAGAGCCCCCAGGAGGATGGGAGGGAGGGAGTTCCCACTGTCACCTGCACAAGCCAGGGGTCTACACCTCCAGGCACCCTCCACCTAGGACCCCTCCCTGCCCCGCCCCCTCCCAGGTCTGCCCTAACCCCCAGGGCCTGCCCCCACTGCTCAGCCGCTCTTCCCAGCAGCACTTCAGGCTTCCCGATTCCATTTCACACCCATTAATTAATAGAATCACTCTACCGTTGTTACAATGGTCCCTTATTTCTTTACAGTCATGACAAATATGAGTTCTTGGAACATCCCTTCAGAGGAGGGAGGGGGTTATCACTACTTGTATTTTGTAAGCAGACATCTGAGGTGGCGATTTGCCTCACAGTAGGTGCCTGCGAAGGGTGCTGCTGGCCCCAGACCTGGGGTCTTCCTACCAGAATCCTCAGACTCTGTCATCACCCATGGCCTCACGCTGTTCCCTGAGAGCGAGTGAGCGCACACACACGCACACGCAAACACGCACATGCCCCAGCACCACCAGCTCCTCAGGGCAGGGCCAGTCTCGTCCACCCCTCACAGCACTCAGCACGGGGCCCTGCGTGGCAAAAGCCCACAAAATCTCACAGAACCATTCCAGTAGCACCTACCTGGGACAGTCTGAACATGGAGCAGAACACTTTCCTCCCTCTGAAAGCAAGGGGGCTGCTGGCTGCTCCCCAGGCCCTTGCCCTGGGCCAGCCTGGTCCCCTTCCCTCTGGCCCTCCTCCCGATGGCGGCCCCTCGGTTCTGGCTGCCCCAACTCACTTCTCCAGCATGGACATGACGATCGGGGGTAGCACCAGGATGGGCATGGGCAGGACGACCCGGGTCAGCGCCGTCTCCAGCAGGGCCTGGGGGCGGGCAGAGGCTGTGGTGAGAGGGGTGGGGGATGGCAGGTGGCAGGATGGCAAGTTCTGCCCGGGAGCCCCTGGGTGTGTGTGCCGCTGCTGAGCACATCTGGCTGAACGGAATTATTCATGGAATTGCTCACGAAGCTGTATCCCAAACAACAGCAAAGAGCCCCACCTGTCTTCTTGCCAAGCACATTTGAAAGAGCAGATTCCCCTCACCTGCCACATGTGGGGGAGGGGTGGCAACACAGAAGCGGCCCCAGGAAGGGGCCTTGCCAGGGAGGTGGCGGGTGCAGCCTCCCCTGCCCCGGACTGTGCAGGGCTGGGAAGAAGCTCTGAAACCAAGCAGGCTGGAAGGACGGCACGAACAGCAGGGGCCTGCTGAGCCACGGTGCTCATGGTGCTGAGGGAGGACACCGATTCTGGGACGTATTTAGCTGACGTCCCTTAAAGACAAAGATTCAGAGGATCTGATCTTGTGTCTCCTGGCTCAGAATGAGTCTTTCTCAGTGACAAGAGGTTGGCTTGGTAAGGGGCACGTGCCCCTGCTGAGCACCTGCAGGGTCTCCATCGGGGGTCTGCCTGGGCCCTTGCTCTGGGGGCTCCCATGGGATTCCTGGGGGCAGGGGTTGTCACAGCCCAGGAAGGGCATAGCTCAGGGGCAGTTCTGCGCTTGGACAGCCATTACAGTGAGTTCCTTTAAACCCCCGGCTCCCCGTCCTCAGAGAAGGCTCCAGGAGCTGCTCACAGCCCACGGGTCCCTGGAGTCTTTCCCCAGACAGCAAGGGGCTGACCCAGCCGGCAGAAAGAGGCCCAGGGTTTCTTTGCTGTTTGGCACCATGAGGAGGAGTTGTCATGGTGCCTCCCTCACAGGGGCTGGGGAAAGAGTAGGGTTGGGGTAGGAGACTGGTGTTGGGCAGGAAATTGAGGCTAAATCCCCTCTGATGATGGGCTCAGGGCTGAAAATCTCTCCCAGGAACCTGGGCCTTTATAGTCAGTCTCAGGCAGGCTGGGAGAGGGTCCCTCCAGTGTCCGGAACAGGAGTGGGGAGGATGGGAGGGTCTAGTGCCAGTGCAGGGAGCAGAGAAGCAACGTGGGCATGGCACCCCCAGGCCCTCACCCCTCGCAGGCCTTGGAGGGGCACTGACTTGGACAGGGCTCTTCCCAGATCCAGGACCTCATGACAGGGGTGGGTGCTCCGCAGCTGGCAGCCCCACCCCGCCACGCCACCCCCGCCCCATTCCAGCACTCACAGGCCAGAGCCCAGGGCGGAGGGAGGAAGCTGGAAAAGCACAAGGAAATGTGCACGTGGACTGAGGTTTTTTTTAAATTAGGATTGCTAAAGAGGGCAAGACCAGGGAAACTAGAGATGAAAGAGGGTCTTCTTGTGACAAAATATTCTTCTCCACACGCTGGCAAGCCTGAAATCCCTCAACCGCAGTGCACTCACTCCCTGCAGAAGTGCCTGCTAACCCAGAACCACAAACCACACACCCCCAGGCCTCCCCTTCTGACCCAAGAGGATGTGAAGGCCCAGGGAGGCAGGCCCCTGGGGCCTGGGGAGGGGAGGAAAGTTCTGGGGAGTCCCCTCTGCCCTCACCAATTAACACCTCATCTGGGTGAGGTGATCCGAGAAGCTGGGTGAGGGGCTGGGACAAGAGATGGGATGTTTCACAGCTATGAGGGACTGTCCAGGGGGACAGGCTTGGCTGGGGCCAGACCTTGAGGCCTGGGGCTCGTGCAGATGGAAGGCAGGGGTGGAGTGAGGCGGAGACATCAAAAGGACAAAGCCAAAAAAAAAAAAATAAAAGGACAAAGCCAGGGTACTCTGGAGAGAAGCCCGGAGGAATGAACACGTTAGGGGAAAACCAACCCCCTCCCTGTTGCTGGCCTCCCCACCGGCCCCTTGACCCACGTGTCTGGCTGCGATCTTGGAGGAGCCCACGAGGTTGCCATCACCATCCAGGACATCAATCCCTTCCTCCAGCTCCCCGTACCGCATCAGGACCACGTTGCAGATATTGGCGCTGGCTGGAGAGAGAGGGGTGCAGGGAGCAGGGGTGAGGGGGAGGATGTCATTCCCCCATGGGGGGAGGCCACTGGGCTCCTACCTCACCCAATCCTCCCTACCCCAAGCCACAGGGCTCCGCGTTCGAAGGCAGTGGGCAGAGGTAGGGGAAGGCCAGGTTCTGTTGTCCACCTGCCTACCAGCCTGGCAAGGGATGTGGGGGCCTTGGGGGCCTGGCGAGCAAAGGTGGAAAGAGCCAGTGTTAGGGAGGAGAGCTGTTCAGGGCTCAAAGAGTGGCCAGCTATCGAGGGTGCTACCCTCCTCTCCTCTGGGACAGGCCCTGCAGACAGGCAAAGTTGATGTCCATCCGGGAGGGCCACATCTCCAGCCTGAAGACACATCCCCACTGGGGCCTGATGTTTCACCATCAGCAACTCAGGCCCTTGGGCTGCCCCATTCTCTTTAAATGTCAGTCTCCACATCCATCCTGTCACCTCAGAGTGAATCAAGTTCCCAGGGATTTGCTTCCCTGACAGCAGGTGCTGGAGCAGGCAGGAACCTCAGTGCTCACCCAGCACCACCCCCTCATCATATGGATGGAAAACTGAGGCTCAGAAAGGGGGAGTGACTTATCTGAGGTCACACGGCAAATGGGGACAGAGCAGAAAGGCTTCAATGCCTAAGCCTCTGGATACCTGGGGACGCGAGGGTTGGGGGGGGCACAGAGTTCAAGGCAGACCTTCTATATTCTTGATTCCCACGGTTGAGTTCCTTCCTTTGGTGTGTCCCCTCCCCTGGCCTCAGCTGAGATCTTGGGGACCTGGGCTGAGGGGTGGGTTCCTTGCTCCTTAGTTAAGCACTGGATGCTGAAGTCTGGGGGCCACCCGTCAGCTCGTGACTAGCACGGGAAGCCTATTTCTGCTCCCCTCGCCTGGGGCTCACACGGCTGGCCCGGGCCTGTGGCCCAGTGTGGGTGCCGCCCTCGCCTGAACCCCTCCAGCCCTGCTTCAGGATGGAAGTGGGGAGACTTGGGAGTGGTGGGCAGGTGGGGAGTGGGGGGTGACAAATGCAGAGCCCGCCTGCCTCACTCCTCCCCCAAAAGCGCCTTGCTGTGTTTAAAGTTTTAATTTTTGCTAATTAATGTCAATTAATTTTGTATAATGAGTGTTTAATTTTGGGGAGTGTGTGAGCCTGGGAGCGACTGCAGTTCTGGGCTGTGAACGCTGATTAGCATCAACACCTGCTGCTTCCCCCTCCCTCCAGTGGGGGGGCACCAGGGTTTGGGGAGCTCGAGGGTGGTGGGGCCTAGTGGGCAGGCAGAGTGGGAGGGAGACCACAGATGCTCCCGGTGCCCGAGCCGACGGCTGGGGAGCCAAGCGGTCCAGGGTGCCCACAGCTGGGGGATGGGGTTCTGCAGGTGAGGCATGCCTTGAGACCCTGGGGTCTCCGGGCCTCAGTCTCCTGTTTCAATAAGTGGGGAGGTGGAATAAACAGAGGGGAAGACCGAGAGGCTCTGCAGTCTTTGGAGAAGAAAAGCAGAAGGCCAAATACAGTTTTGAAATGTATTTAGAGCACATACGCCATCTTTGAGCATCTCCACTGTTTCCACGTGACACTCAACGCAATGGAACCCACAGACAGACCCTCTGTGGCTGGAGGTTAAGCCCTGCACCCCTCCTGCCCAACAGTGGGCATGCTCACCTGTCTTAAACGTGGCTCTTCACCAGGGGTGATTTTTTGATGCATTTGGCCATGTCTGGAGACATTTTTGATGACCACAGTCTGGGGGTGGGGATGCGGGTTGCTACTGGCATCTAGCGGGTGGAGACCAGGGATATGGCTAAACATCCCACAACGCACAAGACAGCTCCCACGACAAAGAATTACTTGGCCCAAAATGTCAACAGCACTGACACTGAGAAACCTTTGTTTTAACCCCAGCCAGAGATGACAGAATTAGGAGGGTGAATCTGAGGTAAGGGAGATTTGATCAGCAGGAAATGGGGTGGAGGAAGAATTGGGAGCCTGGGTTTGGGGCATCTGGGCTTGAGTTTCAATCCTGGCTCTGTAACTCTCTCTACTCACCCCCAGAGGTGAGCTTCTGTCAGTCCCAGGGCCCCCCAGGGCTCAGGGTCCAAGAAGGGCTCCCAGGGTGGCCTCAAGAAGCTGGCACCCAGCCTCTTTGTGCTGGGGACGTGCCCTCTAGTGGCGGCATGGATGCTCTGCATCCCCCACACCCCTGGGGCTGCCAAGGCTCCAGTTCCTGGGAGACCCAAGAAAACCACTGGATAGTGGGATGTTCTGCCCTGAAAGGCATCAATCCCTGTCCTCGGAGAAGCCCTTCCTCCACACCACCGCCACCGCCATTCCAGGAAAGGCAAACTTACAGGAACATGGTCTGAGGGATGAGCATCCCCTTAAGGTCGGGCGGCTGCCAGCTCACACCAAGAACTTGAGCCACCGCCACCTCAACGCCTGCTCAGCTTCCCGGAGTATGAAAGGAGCAGCATCAGGGACTCCCCGGGATTTCTGGGTGCCGGCTGAGCTCGCGCAAAATGTCAACTTCCGCACCTGTGCCCATGCCAGGTCAGGGGAAGCTGGGAACACCTGAAACATCTCTAGCCCCCATTTTGTGTGTGTGTGTGTGTGTGTGTGTGTGTGTGTGTGTGGCAGGGAGACAGACAAAGAGGAGACAGTGTGGATTTGGAGGCGGCGGCTGGCCAGCCCCAGGCTCATGGTGGCATCTCCCTTACTCTCTGCAATCCCCAAATGTGAAATGCAGGGCAAGCAAGACAGAACGGGACTTTGGTTCAAACACAAACCCACTGGAGACAAAAGATGCAGCATGAAAGGAAGTGAAGGCCCAGCCTTCTTCCCCTCAGACAGCCCCTTCGGGATATCTTTGGGGGTGACAATGCCCTGTTTCATCTAAGCTGCCTGGATGGAAAAAAGAGAAAACCCTAAAAGCCACCTCAGAATGATGGCAATCCCCAGGTTTCTCCCTTGAACAGCCAGTTCTTACTGCCTAGTCAAATGGTACATGCCTTATAATCTCTTCTGTTGACTGTGTACACTAGTTGTCCATTTGTTGAGCACCTGCTGTATGCACAGGCTACTAGCCATCCCTTCCTTTGAGCAATGAGAATGTCAGTCTGTTACACTGATTTCATTTCCATGATCTCATCCAGAACTTTTGATTCTGTCATGTCACTTTCAAACCTTCCCTGGTCCCTCCCATCCCACTCCTGACAAGTCTACCTCCCATGACAGGGACACTTAGAGCCTAAGCAAATGGCGGAGGGAAGACAGATAAAGAAAGCGCAACCATAGGCCATGGGTCTTCTCTCTAACACATGGGCAAAATCTATTATTGATGGTATCAGCAGGTTAATTAAGCAGTCTGTTAATGATAATGTTAAGAAAGCTGGCGTATTTTCAACTCAGATTGTCACCATTCAAGACTCAGGCATAACTGATGTTGGAGCAAGCAACGCTGGGAGATATCATGGAATGAGATGGGGGAGGGGGTAGAGAGAGAGAGAGAGATTTTGCTTCTTGCTGATGGCAAGCTCAGTGTCAAGTCCTGAGGAAAATACGCTCTTGACTGCTGCAGATGTTCTCACATCCGACCCACTGCAATGCAAAATCATGCAGATTGCAAACAGCTAAGGAAGCAGCCCATGTAGACGGGATAGTGTGGGGAAGAAGAAAGAGCAGTAGACAGAAAGACAAATGTACTAGGAAGTCCTCCAAAAGAAGACCACAGGGGAGCCTTCCCCCTGAACTAGTGCAGGAATAGACAAGCAGACCAATGCAGCATACTTGCCTAGCAACACACCCGCCTGTCGGGGACATTAACTGGTGGTAAAGCAGTTATATCAACTACCAGGGAAAGGACCGTTTGAACATGGAGGTGGAGCAATGGGCTATTGATTTGGGGAGAACAAAATATAACTCCTCAATTCCAAGATGCATTTTCCCATATTTTAATGTTTTAAAAATCATGATGTGCCTTACAATGAACGTCAGTGGGGAGGAGGGAACCTTATCTGCTACCCCAAACAACTGCCTGTACCGTGTGTGAACTTAGCCACACATAGAGGTATCTGTTCATTCAAGTGTCACCTCAGCTGACCACAGCAATCCATACAGAATTTGAACTTAAACTTAGATTCCTAATTGTTGCCTAAAACATCTTTCTAAAACTTACGCTATAATGGAGCACGGACATGAAAAGTTATTGTACATGCAGAAGATCGTCTGCCAGATACCAGGCAATGCAATTAAAGACAGTAGAAATTGCCAAACCATAGATAGCTACCCTAAAGAAATGCTTGCCCATATGTACAAAGAGACATTTACAAGGATGTTAATTATAGCACTGTTTGTAAGAGCAAATAATTAGAAACAACCTAAATGTCCACCATTAGGGAACTCACATGGGAAGATCTCCAAAACAAACTGTTATGTGAAAAAAGCTACTAAGTATGTACATGATTTACTATATGTAAAACCCCGTAATTGGTACACACACATATGTGTGCATATATCCACAGGTTACATTCTGGAAGGTTCATACCTCACAGAGGGGTACCCTTGGAGAAGAGAACTCAATTTGAGAATTAGGGGTTGTTGAAAGACTTTCACTTTCTTTTATGCCAAATTTTTCTCTATTATTTGAATTTTTACCATGAGAATATAATCATGTTTCCTTAACTTAAAAACTAAAAGAAATTGTCAAACTTCTTGAAGAAGATCATACAAATTTTAAAGCCAGCAGGATTGGTGTGACCTATTCACGGATCCCACACTTAGGCATTTATGTCAGAAACCTCCTAAAGAAGCTGAGTAACTTTAGGAATATTTTTTCCTTCAGGTGAAGAAAAACAATCAAACTGCAAGAGTAATCAAATCAGAAATGCAGACAAAAAATTCCCAATATTCTTTCGTATGCTTTGAAATTATAATGTCAATCTCAAAGAGGCTAAAGGAGTCAAGATTAGAGGCAGAGATTACAAAAAGC